TCTGACGCGGCAATGGTATCCATGGGAACCGAGACTTCGTCTAGATGCAGCGGTCCTGCATACGCGAGACGCAAATTGACCCTTCGCTTCTTTGCCGGAACCAACGCGGGAAACGGGTCAAATGCTCCTGCGCGGGAAACGGGTCAAATGCTCCTCGTCGTTCGGTAGGAGCCACCACCAGCACATTCACAAAGCCATTTCCTGCTGCTTCGCCTTCTTCATCCACTTCGACCATGTCCTCATCAGACAAACCAACGCGCCAGAGCTTCGCTCGCCCGGCATCCAGATGTGTCAGACCACTGGTGTCACTCACACCATTGACCTCATTTTCAGTCAGCCATGTGGCGCCGTTCTTGGCCAAGTACAGCTGAAGCTTGATCGCCGCAGAGTCATACTCTAGCTCCACCTTGATTGCCTTCTGTAAGTCCCCCACCGACTGGCTCGCATCAATATCCACGGGGAATGCGTTCCCTGCCGCTCCAACCACCGCACAGAAGAGTTTCACCATATTTCCTGACTGCTTTCATCTCACTTTCAGAGTTTTATTTGAAAGATGGGTTCCGACCACTCGGTTCTAAAACCGGTACCGGTATCGGTCAAAAGTATAATACTACCGGTAGTATTACTCAATGATAAGTCTGGACAATATTTTAGCATTATCGCTGGGTGCTTCTGGCATTGCATTCGTAGTCCTTACAGCAATCCTTCGTATGTTAATTTCCACAATGCGTGCAGATTTTCATTTCGACATATTTGATTTTACTATGAGCGCGCTCGATCTCTTGCGGCTTTAGGTAGTTTATCCAGTCCGAATTTCTCTTGCATTCAAACGAGCAAGTGTCTCCGCATTTCAGACCTTGATATTTCTGCCCCTTCTCCATATGCTACATTTCCCATAGTAATTCCGTAGCTGTTGTTATTATTAGACACCCTTAGACTGCGATGATGTACTGTACTGTACATTTAAGTCGCTTCTACCGTTTTAGGGACGACGTCTGCGACGGCGAGCGTGGGTACGTTTTTGCCGCAAGTGGACTCTTAGCACAAAGCAGCACTGCGCTATTAATAATATTAATAAGTGCCTGGCATCGGGTACCGGTACAGCAAATGCCATGATCCGATTCGGGACGCTTGAAGCTGGCTGCAGTTGCGCGTGTTCGAGAGCGCAAGCACCGTAGCGCTACCTAATGAGACATATCTTCGTCCAAGAGTGCTGGTCACCCGCTAATTCGGAGTAAAAAATCAGTTCGATTTTGCTGTCGACCCGCCGGAAATTCAAACATGCATTTATATGTTAAAGTACTACTGTACATGTACACATATACACGCGTTGCCCGCACTGTGGTGACAACGTCTTGCCAGTGCTGTTCATCTGCTTGGTCTCTATGTTGTCTCACTAAACGGATAACGAGGCAAAATTGGCTATTAGGATAGCCTCAGACTCAGCCACGACACTATTTTTTTTCTGCGCCCCTTATCTGCGCCCCTTATTTTCGGCCTTCTCAAGGTCTTAAAACGTAATCTGCTGGAATCGGCAACTCCGTGTCTCAGCATCTTGCTGACAGAAAACCTGTGTAACAGCCTATTCTATCCCTTTCAGCAAGTCAAATACGCGTAATCTTGGGGTGCGTATCGCAACTGGGCGGACGGAAATAGAAGGCGCCTCTGCACTCTGAGCTTTCGACACCTGCGTCTGGAGCTGTCATAATCGAACTCGCTCTGAACACCACACCCCATACATACACACAGACAGACACCATGGCCTTTGAAAGCACCATGGAGATCACACGCGGCGGCGTGAAGACCAAGCAGGGCGCCCCGCAGCAGGAGACGCCTGTGCTTGACGAGTCGTCGGCTATGACGTTCGCCATCCCGGCACCCATCGCGTCGGTGCGCGCCAACATCGCGGCCTTCGAGGAGGACAGCATTCGTAAGCTGCTCACGCGCTACGAGGGCTCCGACGTGCTGCCGATTGGCTGGCGCGAGGGCCCGAGCAACAAGGGCATCCAGGTCGTCTACGGTGAAGTGGACGGCAAGGGCAGCGAGTGGTACACCATGAAGACGACGGGCATGCTCCACGTGAGTGCTACCAAGGCCGCACAGATTCTCATGCGCAGCGACATGGTGCCCAAGTTTGACGACATGACAAAGGAAGTTAAAGTCATGGAGAAACTCAGCGACGCCTCTGAGGTGCGTCGTGTGACCGCCAAGTCAGTTATGTTCACGGCCGCTCGAGACTTCTCTGTCGTGTCTACCTACCGTGAAGAAGCCAGTGGCCGCATCCTCATCGCCACACGTTCAGTCGAGTACGTACCCGAACGCAAGGGTTACGTTCGTGCGACCATTTTGATCTCGGGCTACGTGGTGACGCCTCACCCGACCAACCCCAACATGTGC